AATTTTGCACTTTCCCCATATATTATATATTATATGTACCATTTCAACAGCTGCTGAAAAAATCAGATTTTCAGCAATTGTGTGCGGAGTACTAGTTTTGGCAACACGATGAGCAACTTTATACCTTGCTAATAATGCTTTTTCATTAGTAGTGGTTACCAAGGGAAAACAACTGTCTTTCTGTTTGTGAAGGACGTTCAGCTTTCTTTCAAAGAATTCTACGGGCTTGTCTTTTTTATCTGGATGTTTGCTATTTAAATGTCGGAGTAACTTTGATGGCTTCATGCTTTCTTTTGACAAGACTTGTCCACAAATAACACATTGTGGTTTATTAAAAATAACGATAAAACCATATTTAAGATATTCATCAATGTAGAATCTGTTTTTCTTTTTATTGCTGCTACTGCCATTTTCAGACGTAGATGGTTCTGCACTTCTTTTTGAAAACTTATCCATAATTTATAATTTATCGTAGACTTAAATACCTAAACGGGAATACGTAAGTTGTAAAATATTTACTCATTACTCAACACCACGTTCGCCACCATAGGCTGTTTGGATTCGAACTGAGGTTTCGTTGCGCATCGCCACTTGTATAAAGCCAAAAAGAGGCTACGAGAACGTTCCAGAGTGCCATCTAGTAGCGAGCGGTTTCGCGATTATCATGGAAGAGTTTTGCGATGTAGACACAAGCTAACATTAAAATAATTGTATTAAAATAAAACAATTGTTTTTGATTTAACCTTAAACAGTAAAGTAAAATTTAATTTAAGAAACCATCAGATAATTGTAAATTAGGCACGCTATTTCTGTCAAATAATATTGAATAAATGAGTGGGGGGAAATTGGGGGGTGGCGAACAAATTTTTTAGCAAAAAGGTGTCGCGGTTTAGATAAGTTTGGGAAACTCTGTTCTAGACAAAGGAGAGAGGATTGTGGCAAATTCAGACAAATAGAACCGCACTTAAAGGAACCTATAATCAGAACAATATACAAAATGGATGCATCTGTCAGCAACAACACTTTGATGATTTCTTAAAACCCATAATTTTAATTAAAAAACTATAGACAAGTGCCAAGAACTAGTGGAAAGTACTAGAATAACTATTTCTTTGTTGAAATGTTGTTTATTTAGATGAGACCTGGTGTGATACTCATAACAGGACAGAGAATTATAATTTAACACTGCTGTGGAGAAAATAAATGGATCGACGATATAGTATTAATATCACCAAAAAGAAATTAAGACGCGTTAAAAAATATCTTTTTCTAAGATTACCTAAATATAGTGTGATTGTCATCGACAACGCATCATATTATTCAAGATAAATTAAAAAGATTACAAATATTACTTAAAACAAACTACAAATTCAACAATTTTTATTTGAGAAAGATTTGTACTTTGAGGGATCATATAGTAAAAAGCAATTGTTGGAGGTTGTTTATAGTAGACAGTACCAGAAGGAATATGTTTTTGATAACTGTACTCGCAGTAATGGGCATACCGTGCTTAGACTTCCTCCTCAAGGAAGTATAAGAAGAACAAACGTGGCTCCTAAATTTTCGTCCACTGTTCTCCAGTTAATTAGAAAAGACAGAAAGTCACAAAGATCACAGCAACCAACTGGAAAAATGTAGTCAAATATGTAATTGCAGTGGAATATGTCTATGTTAAATATTTACCAGCATTAACCAAATTAACTATAAATTTAGAAGATACTAGTGATTAATAACAGTGATTCTGAGTAGATTAGTAAGTACTTACCTCGAACTAGCTATTGAAACCCTTATTTTTATTGTAATTGTAGATATTCTCGTTTTGCTTATATATCGTTGAAAACAGGGTATAAACACACTTCATGATAGAACAATAAGATACAGAGTATTTAGTTGAAAATAGTCAAAGTACCGGTTAGGTTATTGTAAAATATCTGCTAGATATATAAAAAAGATGTTTATAAAAGTTTTAGACCTCTTACCCATTTTTAAATTATTGAGGTACTAAGTCTTCTCTCACACGGTGTCAAACCAAAGTTGTGGTTCTTTAATAGAACACTCTGTATATAATTTAAAAAATACATTCTTTATTTTTTCCTGAATACAATAACTAAGTTATCAAACGTTGTGTTAATAAAACGTTTGTATAATAACATATTTGTAATGTAATAATTACTGTTATTAACAATTTTTTATATGTATTATTACTTTACAATAAGTTTTGTTCAGTCGAGTCGATTAGTGTTATCACTCCCTAGATATATCACAGAAGTTAACAACACCGACATTTTTCATTTAAACTTTATAGAAAATGAAACATTTTGGTCAACAAAATTAAATAAAAATAAAAACTTTTATTTAATTTAAAATTAGATATCTACGCTACTGTTCAGTAAAGTACTGGTCACTGTAACATTGTTGCCAATTTGATAATATCTTACTCGCTCTTGTAGCCGTATATATAAAAGTATAAATCTTTTTTTCATCTTTTTTGGCATAAAATTGACATTATCGGTAAAATTTAGTTGGTTCGTATAATTTTTAGACCTTGATAGCACTAAAAACGTTATGAAAATTTATAAATGCATTTTGGATATTTTATAAAAAATTTTATACCATTTTCCTCAAGAAATTTTACTTTATGGTAAATTTTGTAAAATTTTTTTCCTTATATATGAAAGGATATAAGGTGATAAAATTTGAGAGATTTACGAAATAACTTAAAAATACATTTAACGAAAACTCGACCTCTCTTTGCAAGTTAAGTAAATATAATGAAGGGAAATGTAGTATTACTATTAAATAAGATACAAGTTAGTCATATTAAAATTTGCTGCAGGCTGTAATAGTTAACAATGTTATAGTTGTGACAGAAACAGATATGAAGAGGGCAAACTCAATCGGCTCCCATACTATTAAATCAAGCAAATTCTGCACTAAACTCATCAGTAGAATATAGAAAGATTTGGTTTATCGATACTGAAATAAGAACTGACCAGTAAAAATATACCAACACTACTGAGTTAACAGCTGGTCATAAAGACATCATCTAAAAGATTAATAGAATCACGGAAGAATCAGATTCTGATATTAATTTGAAGGTACAACACTACTCAGAATTATTGTCACCTCCAAAAGTGTGCACATGAATAACGGCCGTAAAACCGAGGCCATATAAGGTAACCAGATCAAATTAGTATTTCTCCCATACCACCAATCATAAACATTTATAGGTTAAAGATCATTTTTATAATTTTCATTTCATATTTTTTTGAATACGATTTTTGAATTGGAAGTCGAAACGTCAAAAGAAAATAAAAAATGTAATTTTCATTATAATTAATTGCGGTTTAATTCGATCCAAAAACTGTCGAGTGCTATTTGCACGTCTGTAGTATTGATCAAATGCTTTATTTGCTTTTTACAATTTTTAAACTTTTATGACTAATAGAAAAGTCCAAGTATGCAAACATCTAAATTTAATTTCAATCACGATTTATATAATTTCCTCGTTAATTGTTGGTATGTGTCTGAAGGTATACATATACTAAGTGACATAGAAATCCGAACACCCAGTTTAAATGATTTTATTTTAATAAAATTTTGTATAAGTACTTAATGAAGCATAATAAGTAAATTATTAAAATTTCAAAATGATTGCATTGCTTTAAAGCCCTTTTACCTTTAGTAATGTGTAGATGCACCCCGATGTGTTACGCATTCTCCAACGCGCCTAGGCATGCTTCTGATCAGGTGATCAATGTCCTCTTTTGGTATCTCATTCCAGGCAACTACCAACTCCTCTCGAAGTGCTTGTAGAGTCTGAGGAGGACGTTGCAAATTGATCAATTTCCTAGCCATCATATCCCACACGTAATTGGGGATAAGTCGGGAGATCTTGGTGGCCATGCCAACAATGTGACATTATTATGTTGAAAGAAGTCTATTATGACTCTTGCAGCATGTGGTCGGGCATTTTCTTGTTAGAAAGTTTGATTTGCCAGGGTGTCAAGATAGGGTAAAAGGTGGAGTTCAAGAACTTCTTGGATATAACGCTGCGCGGTCATGTTACCTCTGATTAAGATTAAAGGTGATCTAGAACCATAAGCTATAGCACCCCAAACCATAACTCCAACAGTGTGATGAACATGTCTTTCAATAAAAAACTGTGGATTCCTCCTTTCATCACGTCGCCTTCTAACTCTCGATCGACCATCGTGCATGCCTAAACAAAATCGAGACTCGTCACTACAGACAATACTGTTCCATTTCTGATTCCAGAGTGACCGTTCTCGGCACCACTGAAGGCGATTACGGCGGTTTTCTGGAGTTAAAGGGAGGACCCAGTGTGATTGGTATGAAAACAGACCAAAACTTCTTATTCGTCGGTAAACACTTCGCATGCCAATAGGTCTTCCATGTTCTGCAAACCATTTATTTGCAATGGAGCTGGTAGTGTAGAAACGGTCTCTTAATGCCAATAATCTTAGGCGGCGATCTTCACGGTCTGTTCTTCTACGGCGGCGTCCAGTGCCCCTTGCTCTTTGCGTAAGGCCTTCAGAAGCCATACCTGTTAACACCTAACCACGGTATCTACACTTCTTTGCACTCTAACTGCAACTTCCCGAAAAGAAAGTCCAGCTTCCCGAAATCACATTATACGGCCCCTATCAAACTCACTAAGTTGACAAAATCATACAGGTCTCCGTACTCTAGGCATCGTAACCAATCGTAAAGAATGTCAAGAACCACAATTCGTCAAATTTGGATCTTTACTGTGGCTGAAATATTCATTTTTAGATTGTTAGTGAATTTAACAACAAAAAGTATAAAAACCGGAATCTCCAACTGATAAGGCTAAAAACTTTATCACTTGTTTTTTTCAGTAAGATAACTAAATTACACCAAATTTTATTGAAATAAAATCATTTAAACTGGGTGTTCGGATTTCTATGTCACTTAGTATATTTGTATACACTATAAAATTAAAAGGGAATACTTACGACGTCCAGGATTCCAATTTCCAACTGTCACAGCCTTTGTTGATTGTACAAAAGGTCTATGGGTACTTGTGTTGAAATGAGGTTTGGAACTGTTAAAACGGGGTGGAGTATTAAATACTGAACGAACTGTTGAAGTACTGATATAGTTCCCAGATGAATGATTTTTACCTGCGGGTGGAAAGTTTGGATTAAATGCGGGTTGTCTAGTATGCTGAGTAGTCCTATGCATGGATGGAGTTGTCATAGGATAATGCTTTGTAGTGTAATTATTTCTGTTTGATGGTGGGAAATTAGGATTAAATGGGGGTTGTCTATGGGGTGTAGTCCTGTGAGTAGGCATGGTAGTCATAGGATGATATTTCGTCGTTCTTCTCGTTGGCATAGTCGTAATGGGATGGTATCTGGTTGTTCTCCTAGTAGGCATCGTAGTTATGGGATGATATCTTGTGGTTCTCCTGGTAGGCATCGTTGTTACAGGATACCGTCTTGGAGTAGGTCTAGGTGTAAAAGGTCTTGAGCTGCCACGGGATCCAGAACCAAACGAACTGCCTCGAGAACTAGAACCATAAGAACTGCCTCGAGAACCGGAACTTGAACTACGAGATCCAGAGGTCGAAGATCGGGATACTGAAAGAGATGTTTATATATGATTAATAATTTTTAATCATTTGTGTAAAATAAATTTTTATTTACATAACACAATACAATTACGATACTATTTTAAAAAAAAATGAGTATAGAGCATAAAAATATTATGCAGTATTAGACTAAAAGAAAGTTATAAACTTAAGTAAAATACAAATAGATATTGTAATAAGAAAAAAAAGCAATAAATTACAAATATTTCTATGGTATATTCAAATACAGATAAAAAGAGGTATTTGAGACTCAAATAAAGCATGGCTTATAGTACAATAAGTTAAGCTTTAATTTGTAATTGATTTCTTAAAATTTATATCTCAATGTCTGTGACTCCTAGTTACCAAGTAGGGAAAAATAGGACACTGGCTAAAAAATGTAGTAAAAATCAGTTTACCAGGCTTGAAGTAAAAATCCTAAATCGCAAAAAAAAATGTAAGTTAGTCGGGTAATACTGCATTTTAATTGCATTTCTAGTTTGCTAAATCATGCTAAACATGGTGTTGATATTTAGATGTTAGGTATCATAACGAGTCATCTTTTAAGGTTATAATAATAAAAGAACTTTTCTCGTAAAGAGACAAAGTGGAAATGAAAAAAGAGACCGAAAAAGTGGGAAGCGAAGCAGGTTGTGGTATATAGAGAAAAGTAACACTAAAAATGGAGTTGGGGTAATTGTTAAAGAGAAATAAAAGATAACGTAGTAGAATTTGTATGAACAAGTTCTTGAAAAATGCCAGTGGCGTGTTTATTGAATCCGGGAGTGTTGAATGTTGTATTTGTATGATCTTCTAGTCAGACAGTCCTTAATGTTCTCCACCTTACATCTACGTCAAAAATCTATACTTCTAACTCTGCCCTATAGTATCTTATTACTAATTTTTCTACAAGTTTTTATCTGGGCTATTTCTTACAATCTTTTTGTCCTGTCTGTGCCAGGTCGTGTTTTAGGCGATTATGTCATTATTAATCTGATAATTTTTTGTTAATTCTGTCTTTCATTTCTTTCCTGATAGTTTTATTTCTATATATTATTTAAATTAGGCAATCTGCGGATCTATTTGCTCTATTAATTTGATATTTTACGTCCGTTTTGAGATTTCCAAAGCTAAATAGTGTGATGACTAGATATTTTAAGTCCACCACTTGTTCTATTATCTGACCTTCCAGTCCAAATTTTATCTTGGTAAATTTTTTATTATAACCATGCATTTTGTCATTTTTTGACTAATTAACATGTTAAATTTTCTGGCGGTTGTATTAAATTGGTGCAACATACGTTGTTAATCATCTTCACTTTGAGAGAGTAGTATTGCGTCATCTGCATAGCAGATTATTTTAAGTTGTTTTTTTTTATTATTTCAACCATGATCAGGTTGAACACTCAGGGCCTCAGGAATCTCCCTACCTTATCCCATTGCTAGCTTCAATTGGGTAAGTATTTATTACTTTTACTCTTGTTGTGATATTCGATCATTTTGATTTCCTACAGATATTCGTAGAGGTATCTGTCTTGTGTCTAATAAGTGGATATCGTCCTTTAATTTCACCCTGTCAAATGCCTTCTTAATGTCCACAAAACATAGATACGCTGGTTTGTTATATTGCTAATGATTTCTCTTGCACTTACCTCACTATAAAGATAGCATCGATACATGATCTTTTTGACCTAAAACCTGTTTGTTCTTTTGCTAGTGTTATAATTTTATTCGATATATTTGTTATTAATAATTAAGTTAAGTTGCTTAAGTTGTTCATTTTAGTGTTGTATTTAATAAATTAATTCTTTTGTAATTTTCTGGGTCCGATTTGTATACCTCTTTGAGGGGAGGTATTAAGATAATTGATCTCCTTAATAGTTGTTTGGTCAAATCTGGTCCTCCTTATTTTATCAGCTCTCTCAGTATTCTTTCCACTTTAGGTGATTTTTCCATAATGCGTTCTTTACCTTTTCCTTTTCCATACCTATTTCTTCGTTTGTCTTCACTTCTGGTGTTTGTGGTTCATTATCCTTCACCTTAAGGTCCATCATGATCACCAAGAGTGATCAAAAGAAGTCTGCCCATGCTTGCTTTTGAATGTGAGCGCTTTTATTAGTCCGTTTATCTCCTTTCTTTAATCTTTGATCATTCTTCATATTTCTTTTTGTGTTTCGTAGAAGAAAAAGATAGGACCAGCAACGTAATCCTATTATTCGAGAAGGATAATAAGGAACAAACAGAAAACTTTACAGGTCTAATTGGGAAAATACTACCTTGAAACTTATTTACAAGGTCCAATAAATCAGCTCAGAAACTTAGCAGATGAGCAACAACGTTTCCGTACGGGAAGGTCGTATGTAACGGGAATAGATGGAAAAATTACGGTACCTATAGATATAATGGAATAAGACAGGAGTATTTACAAAGTACCTACTATGCTATTTAAAATAATCATGGTTGTAGTCATAAAGAGCACTAACAAAGCAAAGGACATAGAGTGTAGAACAATTAAATTATAATTCTCTGTTACGCAGACTATATAATATTGATGTCCCAAAATAAAGGTATTGTCTTCAAAACTAATACACAGATTTCACATAAGAGGAAAAGCATTTACCATAACAATTTTAATTCAGAGAACTAAAACAGTACTAATCAGTAAGATTAACTCACCAATAAGATGTTAATTGAAAGTCGATGGATTTAAAATGTAAAAAAAGTTTTTTGTGATTACAATCATTTAAACCGAAACACAGAAATGAAGAAGTGTGCAGAAAAGTTGTGTGCCAAAAAACCTCAAATTAAACTCTAAGGAAAATTTTTAAAATTTTCATAATACCAGGTTAAATATTCATCACTAAGATACTAAGATACAAGTACAATGAATGCATCTGGTAGAAATAAAAAACGTTTATGTGGATAAGGGGAGTAACAATAAGGATAAAATTAAGAATGGATATTAGGGAACCTCAATGAATGACATCAATTATGGAGAAAATAGAAGAGCATATGTTAAATTATAGTATATTTAAGTCAATATAAGAGTTTGTTGCTGTTTTAAAATAAAAAAAATTAAAAGTAACCAAGTCTAGAGACATTACAATAGTCATTTGAGATCTAAATATAAAAATCGATAGAGGAAGTCAAGGTGATTTTATTGGAAACTTTGGACTACGTACCTGTAACGAGAGAGAAGACAGATTAACTCAATTCTGCCAAGAAACCGATTTTATTGTCGCGAATACTTATTATAATCTGCCTTCCAGGAGACTCTATACATGGAAATCTCCAGCAGACAACCGACATAACGTCATCAGAAACCAAATTGACTATCTTCTCATCTGCAAACGATACCGAAATTCCATAAAATCAGTAAAATCATATTCCGGAGTTGATGCGATATCAGATCACAATGGCATGTGTGAAAGGATGCTTTTATACGCACATGTGAGACAACACTAACACCTAAGCTGATCAAGAATAAAAATGAATGAATGACCGATGAGATTCTGGATCTCATGGAAGCAAGGAAATCTTATAAGACCAAAGACAAAAACATGTATAATATTATACACATAGAAATAAAGAGAAAGATCAGAGATGCAAAGGAAAGATGGTATAGTGACAGATGCAAAAAGATTGAACAGTTGGTAGAAAAACATAACTTTATGAAGGTAAATCTTCATAACAAAATTAGGAAAATAACAGGCACTAATATTAATAAAAAATCAAACATACTGTTGGATAAAAACGGCAAAATAATTTTAGACGTCGGTGAAAGGCTTAAAAGATGGCAGGAATATATTCAAGAGCTATTTAAAGACCAACGGACTGAGATAGTACTAGAGAAGATGAGGTATTAGAGGCGATAAAGCGAACAAAGAATAACAAGGCAACAGGTCCTGACGAAATACCGGTAGACATAACACAAAATATAACACGGTTAATAGAAGAACAGCAAATTGGAATATTGGTCGACTTATTCAATACAATATACAGTACAGGAATCATTCCCAGATATTGGCTGATGTCAACATTCATAACACTGCCAAAAAACCAAATGCAAAAAACATACATACGCTCAAAATATTTTAAAAAATTCGAAGAATACATAACTTGAGCAGGACATACGTGACACACAATTTGGATTTAGAAATGCACTGGGAACGAGGAAACCCTGTTCGCTGTGAATGTATTTGTGAAAAAGGTGCATGGATGTTAATCAGCCAGTTGGTTGGATATTAGCGTATTTAAAGAATAAAACTACGAAGGAACACCAGCCTGGAGCTGGAATGAAAAGCAGATTTAAACATTAACTTATATTTAATACTAAGATTAAATAGCAATTTCTGAAATCTGTCCGAATACACTGTGATATGTGGTATTTCAACTACACTTTTCACTGGCGCTATTTTCACTATTATATATAACTAATTACAAGTAATATTGCTTAGCGGAATGTCTGTTCTATGTTAACGAATTATTTGCAACACTGGTGGTTTAAATATATAAACTGTTTATATAAAAACTATACTGCGGTTTGAAGAAACACTGATTATTATAAATGATTGACTTATAATCTTTATGAATAATATTGCGATGCGAACTACGACGATTTTGCGACCGACCATGGTAATAGCTTGTTTTGAACTGACTAATGATTTTCAAATAATGTATGCAGGTAGCGGATGGCTCCTACCCCTAAAAGTACCGTTATATATCTTCCTCTATTTATTCTAATAAGGCTTAGCAATCTCGGCATGGGAAAATTTATATCTCAAGTAAAATAGAATTTCACCACCAGTATATATGTGTTTTATAGATTACAACAGAGCCTTCGATAAGGTCAGACATAACCGTCTTATTGAATTACTTAAAAAGAAAAACTTAGACATGAGAGACATCAGTATCATTAGCGCTATCTATTATCATTAGATCACTGTGGTAAAAGAGAACAACGTCTTTTCAAATGAAATTCAGATTAAAAGAGGCGTCAAGCAGTGCTATGTCCTGTCTCCTACTTTGTTCAATTTGTATTTAGAGGAAATAATCCAGGAAGCACTAAAAGAACTAACAATGAGAATATCAATAAGATATGGTTTGCCGACGACACTATTTTATTAGCGAAATATCTTGAGGGATTACAACAAATGGTTGACAGAGTAGTAGAAGTTAGTGAACTAAACGGAATATCCCTAAACACAAAAAAAAAAACACAATTTATGATAATTTCAAAAGCACAACAGCGTCAAGAAAACATAACAATATATGGAGAACAAATTAAAAAAGCTCAAAATATAAATATCTGGGTACAATAATTAACGAAAATAATGAGTACACAGAAGGGATTAAGGCAAGAATGGGGAAGGCAAAAAATTCTTTCAACATACTGAAAAAAGTACTTTGCCGTAGGGACATTTCAATTTCTTTAAAGATAAGACTTCTGAGATGCTACGTGTTCTCCGTATTTTATAAGTTGGAGGCTTGGACATTAAAAAAAGATGTTTCGGATAGATTAGAAGCCTTCGAGTTATGGGCCTACAGAAGGATATTAAGAATAAGTTGGGTGGATAGAGTCACGAATGTCGAGAAGAATGGGCAAAGATATGGAGGTTTTAAATACAACTAAGGTCAGAAAACTGCAATATCTGGGGCATGTCATGAGAGGCGAGCGTTATAACTTGTTGCAATTAATAATGCAAAAAAGAATACAGGGCAGAAGGAGTAGCGGAAGAAGACGAATTTCCTGGTTGAATTATTTGAGAGCTTGGTTTAACTGCACGTCTGCTGACCTCTTTTGAGCAGCGGTATCGAAAGTACGAATTGACATGATGGTTGCCAACCTTCTAACGAGAGGTGGCACATGAAGAAGAAAAAGAAGAATAGTATTCCTGATTCTTATTAAAGTTTAATTCGTATAATTTACTCCATGGTAGTGCCATTTTCTGGTTGGGCCGACGCTAACACGGCGCTGCTAACGCTACGTTATTAGCGTTCGTGTAATAGTGTCCTAAGGAATCCTATCATTCGGATTAACAGACGTTGTCGTAATTATCATAAGAAAGTAAAAAAATAACAACGTGCTAATATTTATAGTTATCATAGCGTTTTATTTGCTTCAATTATATCAACATTTAGGAAAAATAGTTAAAAAACAATGCACAAACCAATCATAATAACCATAATCGACAAACTAACCAAAAAAAGTGAGTTTGACAATGATACTAATATTTTAAAAGAATCGCATCACCGGAAAACTATAAAAACAGAGAGAAGAAGAAAAAAGTACAAATTAAGCACTAACCACGTGACCATCGTATATTACGTAACAAATTTATCGATTATGTAACAATAATTATTATATAATATACTATATACGATTTGACAAACGAATACTAAACTATATAAAAAGCTTCAGTATTTATAAAGAATACTCACAAGTCTGATCTAACTCTACTATTAGCACAATTAGTAGAATACACCAACTCCATTTTAACAACATTTTCTTAAGAATCGTCGCGTAACACTGTAGGTTCTGATACTAAATGTTTTATAATTGTTCACACTTATCAGAAACGTAGTAGAGGTCACTAATATTTATTTATAAGATGATTAATAGGTTACTTTTCATAGAAGATTTACTTGGATTACACAGTAACATCATTATAATTGCTCATTGAAAAACATTTAAGAGATAAGTCTAGAAATTCCGGTTAGTCAAACATAATAGCCTCTGGCTATAAGGCAACTAAACCGGTCCACTTTTTTGCTAGGTTGGTTATAATTTATTCTTTTGTAATTTGGCAACAAAACATTGTTAAGTCATTCAACTGTTGCAGTAAATTTTGATAATAGTCGCGTCAACATTGCTAAAATAAATAGATTATGTAATAAATTGTAAACTTTAGTTTTACTTTTACTTATTTTTATTTCTAAGGAAATGTATTATTAATTTGTCATCTATCTTCTCCTTTCTTTCATATTTTTTTTTTATTTTTTCTAGATATCAGCGTTTCGGAAGTTTATGTAACAACCATTATAGTTATTTTCTTTTTTATTGGATATTACTACAACGTATTTCTAGGTGTATTCTGTATTATATTTGTATATATTCTGTATTATATCTGTATACACTCTGTATTCTATCGCCTCTACTTTTTAATATCTACTCCGAATTTATTTTCAAACAAGCCTTAGTTAAAGATACAGGCATTAAAATCAACGGAATTAATGTCAACAATCTCAGATATGCAGACGACACGGTACTTATTGCCGCCAATGAAGAAGACCTGCAACGGCTTATAAACAGAGTAACCGAAGCATGTGATGAATATGGGCTAAAACTCAATACTTTTAAGACAAAACTTATGGTTGTCAGCAAAACGGAGTTACAACCAACGAACATCAGAGCGTTTGGAATAGAGTGAGAAAGAGTCGACAATATTACCTACTTGGGTGCAAACGTTAAAGATAACTGGGATATAAATAAAGAAATCAGAATACGCATTGAAAAAGCCAGAGCCGCCTTCTGTAAATTAAAAAAAAATCCTAACTAATAGAGATATTACATTAAACGCTAGATCAGATCAGATTAAGCATCAGAGCTGGAACCTTACAAAGACATTAATGAAAAAATTAGAGGCCTTTGAGATGTCAATTTATCGACGAGTATTGCGGATAAGTTGGCTTGATCGAATAAGAAATGAAATAGTTTTACATCGAATGAAAAAGACCGCAGAAATCAGAAAAACGATAAAAATTCCAAATATAATAGATAATAATAATAATATTTTGGTCATGTAATGAGATATCCAGATAGGTATAACCTTCTACAGCTCATAATACAGAGTAAAATCGCCGGAAGAAGAGACCCAGGCTCAGACAAAGACATGACAAAGAACATCCTGGCTCCGAAATCTCCTAGAATGGTATTAAGAGACCACCGCTAATTTATTTAGAGCCGCCGTAAACAAAGTTATTATTGCCAATATGATCGTCAACGTTCGCTAATCGGACAAGCTACTGAAAGAAGAAGAAGATTTCTAGGTGAAGTCCATAATTTAAATTCAACACTAACACTAAATTTATTAATAAAAATATTCAATATAAAATATAATAACCTTCCATTTTTTTACTACGTGTCAGACTTTCTTGTCCCAGTACCTATTTTTTTCACTCTATTATTATTCATTATAAAGAAACTAAAAAAAATCATAGAAACATTCATATCATAAGAACTGAAGGCGCAAATAAAACAGGAACGCAACAAAAATAGGAGAAACAGTCTATATCACCGTAACAGAAACTTTCACTGACATCAAAAGATACAAAAATACAGAAAAAAATACACTTGAGTGCAAAACAATCGACTCAAAATTATTTTGCGAAAGTACGTCTCCTGTTTCAATCTAAAGAGTGTATATTTAAAAATATTTATTGTACAATAAATTATTAACCTCATTATTGAGTTTTAAAAAAATTGTTTGGTCGGATGACGTATTACAAAATAAATAATGCAACACGTAGAGAAGGGGGTCAGAATTTGACTCCTTCAAATCGACACCTAACTTGTTTTGGTTAGCATCGTACGCATCAATTTCCATAGAAACCAATAGCCCTGAGAGAAGCCCTGAGCCACAGGGCCGTGACAAATTGACTTTATTTAAGCCAATCTGCTGTATAGCGAGTGTATCGTCGGTACCAAGATCCTGGTGATTATATCCACCGACAAGGAAGAGGTCTTAAACGAATAACAACAGAAAAAGATGATCGATTTTTTGTATCGAAATCCCTAAGAAATCTACATTTGACTGGTGCTAATATCAAAGAAGAGTCTAGGGAGGTCCGAAGACTGAAGGCAGCCAACCTGACACCAAAAAGGCAGCTAATCCAAGAGTCCGAAGCTAACTGCAGCCCAAAAGCAAAGGCGATTAGATTGTGCTCGCGAACATATGGATTAGGACGACTATCAATGGAATCAGGTATTATTCTCCGATAAAAGACGGATTTGCCTATATGATAACTGCAAGAGGCGTAGAGTTTATAGAAGGCCAAAAGAGCGATTTGCTAAATCTTCTGGTCTCAATTGATTGAAGACAAGCCCATGGAAATCTCCAAAATTTACCGAATTTACCGAGATCGGTGCCTCTTTGAACAGTTGCCAGAGTTCATGGTTGTATCTGGATCTTAAAACTCTGTTTCGTTAATAGGTCCAAATATCTTTCTTAGGACTTTTCGTTCGAAGACTTCCAGCTTTCGCTTTGTGTCTTCTGTCATCACTCGTGTCTCCCATTCATAACATACTATTGGTCTAATAATAGTATTGACTCTGACCCTGATTTTCGATCTCCAGTGAGTGCTTTTGGAGCAGAACACATAGGTGAGTGAAAAGTAAACATTGTTTTGCTTTACTATTCTTCTTAATAATTAAACATACCATATTTATAACTTATAAATCACTAAAATTGCATAAAGAGTTCAAAATATTCTTAACAATAATTTTTTTTTACAATAAAAAACCTACACTAGCCTACACTAAAAAGCCTACTTAAATCTCACAAAACACTTTAAATCTACAAGCTTACCAAAGAAGCCAAAAGCTAAAAAATTAATAAAACTCCCGTTATAAACATATACATTACAATTGCGGTCACTCTCATTGTGACGTCAAGAGTGGGGATCTGCTGACAGAGGTCTGCGCAATATCATATCTGTTATTATTTGTAGCATGGCTCTTATCTGTGTATGGACAGATCTTTGTAGCTAGGTGACCCAGATAGATTTTCTGAAGAATTGAAAGGTACCCTAATAAATTAGCTTTTAATTGCAACTCAAGCCTTTTAGATACAATCGTGTATGCATTCCCGTTTTAACAAATAAAATAATTTACATTAAAGCCTCAAATAAAGAGCTTTTAAAAGCGTTTTATGCTTTCGGGGATAAAATTAATATTTGCCGAAAACGTGGGAGAATTTAGACAAGTGGTTATAATAAGAAGTTATTAAAATATACAGTTAAATAAGATCATATTATACTAAAATATTAAAAGTATTAAAAAGCAAAATATTTTTATGTAAATACTAAATAGTTTTCCAAACACTTAATATTATTAAATTTTTTGTAGTTATATAAACATGCAATGCTCTAGTGTATTTTTAAATAATTACTCAAATAAGGAAAAAACATAAATGCATATTAACAAGCAACGTTACACAATGGGATTTCCTTCAGAAATCAAAGAATGTTTACGCAATAAATATTTATAACAATAGTATATCATTCTAATCATTTAAGATAGAAAATTAATGTTTATTTTGTTATCATATAAATATTAGATTTAACCAAAACTGAAAAAATAATTGTTAAGTTTAAATTTATATATATATATATATATATATATATATATATATATATATATATATATATATATATATATATATATATATATATATATATAATTATTCATAGAACCCATAGAAGGCTATAAGCGTTCTGAACCCGGTTGTGGTTTAAGTTTTCTATTATAATGTCTGGTGTGTTTTTGCCGTTAGCATATTTTTATTCATATATTTCATAATAATATCTATAATATTTTTATGATTTATTTTAGATAATTTATCCTCATTGTTCAATCTAGAACACGCTTTTATAGCAATAATACGCCCCAATGCGAAAGGGAGAAACCAACGAGTTTTAGATTGGAAATATATAATCTTCTCCCTTTCTGATATCTTCATATGTTATATCTCTCTCTTGTCGTTTCCTCATTGCTGAGGATCGTGATTCCCTACAATGCGGGCTGTTATATGTTATATAAAGGTTATCGTATATTATACAAAAAGCATCATGATGATCCTTCGAGTCAAATTGTCTACTTCTTTTTCTGTTTTTATGTGTTTTTACGGTTCTTTGCGAGTAGATACCTTTTTTTATGTATTTTTTTTGTGTTTTGTTGCTTACGGCTTCTTTATGGTAGCGACCTTGTCAATTATGATAACCATTTTATGTGTCTTGCTCACGAGTTCCTTATGGTAGGAGCCTAGTAGGTTGTGATAACAATTTGTTGATATATGTCTTTTATATGAAAATATACCTAGTCGTCTGCCGAAAGATGATACCTAGTGTGCCGAAAGACTATTTCTTTGTCGAGATTCTTTTATGCTAGAGACCTTATTGCGGTTATTACAACCATAGTCAGGATTTGTTTTATCTAAAACGTTTCCCAGTGTGCCGAAAGACATTTTACTTTTTACGTTGTACAAGGTTTATTTACTGGAAAGCTTGTTACGGTTATCATAACCATACAGAATGGTATTTTTTATGTGAAAAGATACCTAGTCGTCTGCCTAAAGACGATACCTAGTTTGACGAAAGACTATTTCTTCTTTACTTTCTTTCTTCAAGGTGATCTTACAATAGAGACATTTTTGCGATTATAACCATATAGCCGGGTATTTTTTTTTCTAAAAAGCTGCCTAGTCATCTGCCGAAAGACTATTTCTTCTTTACATTGTCTTCTCGACGTGCTTGTCTGACAGATACCTTCTTTTTGCAGTTGTTATAACCATTTATTGTGTATTTCTTTTATCTGAAAAGTTAACCAGTCTGTAGATAACTAGTCTGCCAAAAGACTATTTCTTCTCTATATACTTTATTTAAGGCGATCTTATGACAGAGATGTTTTTTAGGTTTTTATATGACCAGGTATATTGCGTTTTGGGTTTATAAAGTATGGTCAGAGATTGTTTTTG